TCAGCCACTTTTGGGCAAAGAAGCCATAAACAAAATATAAACACAGCTGTGGTCCAATAAAACTGTTCCGAAAACAGAGAGTGTTCAGATTTGGCCTCGCCTACCCTTGTCTGTTGACCCCTGGTCTACATGAAATAAAAACTAAAAATTAATACATCATTTGAGACAATACCCATTCCCTTCCTGAAAGCCCAATTATCAAGTGGGCACACCCAAACCCCAGAGTACTATTCACATAGAATGTGGTGCTATTTACGATGTCAACTGTATGAATCCTGTCCCCCACAACTGAATGACTCTGAACCCTCCCTTCATTCAAATTTCCCCAGATCCCATAAAAATTCAACTACTACTCTTCTCATTTCAACATATGGCCGGTGGTTTTCTGTCTTTGCTAATGAAAATAAGCAAACTGAAAAGCTTTTTAAAATGCAGATCCCATGGCTTCAACCCAGACTCACTGTATCAAGATATTTGGTGGATTTGATCTCAGGCATTTTTCTTTTTTTTAAGTTCCACAGATATGCTTCCAGGGCTGAAAACTACTGGATTTAGCCAAAAGTGTGATCCATAAACAATGCATGAGAATCTACTGGGATCACAAAACAAATCAATTTGTAGGTTGGAGACCTAAGAACCCACACTTTTAAAAAGCTCCCTGAGTGTTTACGTGCTATTTAAAAACCTGCCACAGAAGAGGCCATACACCCTTCGCCTCTTGGCCCCACATCTCCTTAGCACTGCTGGCCCCCACTGTTACTGACCCTGAAAGCTGCAGTGGAACACCACCCACAAAGGAGCTCGACTGGGTCAAATTACTGCCTCAGCACACACTTATTTTCAGGTTTACTATGTACGTGTGTTCAAATATCCAGGGTTATTCCCACCTATACAAATAAAAATAAAATTCTTCAATATCAATTCATGTATATATTTGACAACAAATCTGAAAGTCTATTCTTCACTAAAAACCAAACGTTAAAAAAATTTTTAAACAAATAAAAAATAGAAAATAAAAACCAAATGTCAGTATTTATCATACCAGAAAAAGAAACTTCTAACAAATTAGCATCCGATCTAAATACTACCCCAATTTTCCTAAACAATGTATTTCATAACTACTATAACTACTAAAGCTACAATGACATTTAGGTATTTACAACATTATTTTCCCAAGAAAACAAAGTTTATTTCTAGACATTACTTTAAAAAAATTCTAATTAAAATCTCCCCTATACTCCAACCCAAATTCTACCTACAAATAAAGGCTGGTACGCAGCAGTACTTAATGTTTAAAATACTTTAATCTACAGTAAGTGGGACAAGCCAGTATGAAAATAAACACAATACAACCATAAAAGACAATCTCATCAATTCTTATAAACAGAATAACCTCTTATAATGTGTCCAAAAACTATAAAACTGAAAAGCAGAAAAATTCAACCTAGTAAATATGATCCAGAAAATGGTTCAAATATACTCACTGCTATAGCATGGTAAAAAGAAACCTAAATGTAATGAAGGCACAACATAAAAACATATACATTGTAACAGTCAAAAAACCACTATGCTACAGGAGCAAAAAATAACATGTTTATTTTATAATTATCAGAACTATTATCAAAAAGCTTGACTTCCTTTTAGGAGAAATAAAATATGAAAAAAAAAAAAGAATTTCTAATTGATGAAGTGCTGACATATCCTAGAAACTTAAAAATATATTCATATGTATGTCATAAAATGATGAAGTTGAAGGCTAACAAAAAGCGTGACGTATTTTCCCACGAATTTCCTACAAGTACTTTATGTTCACAAAAATTATTATTCAAAGCGCAAAATATGGAAATCAGTATTTATTTTATACTTCAAAGCCAAAACTATTAGTGGTACTAGACTATTTCTAATAGGAATATTAAAAATGAGAAGTAAAGGCTTAAAACAAACCAAGTAAATCTACTCTTATGACATGGGCAAGCTTAACACTTACCATATGATTCCTCCCTTTAAAACGAACAGTGAAAAAATAAAAAGCCCGTAAGAGGGCCTAATTTCAAAGCTTTTAAAACAAAAATAAATATTAAAATAGGTTGACAATTTTTTCCCAAAGTGTTTTCAAAGTAAATTTAAAAAAATAACTGATACAATCATTGCTTCAATGTTTTTTCCATTAACGCAAAACAGCCAAGATCTATAAAAAGCTTCTGATAATATTTCTTTAGTACTTGGTTAGTATATAACAACAAGCATCATGAAGCTAGGAACCAAATAAAATTGACACCAAAATGACGAAAAACGTGTCTCTATTCATAATTCCTCATCTCAAAAAGATCTAAAAATAGAATACAGACTATATTTTCCCCTAAATATTTAGTTCCATTGTTACATATTTTTTAAAATATGATTCCTCTTGAAAAATTAAGAACGTAGTAACTTTGTGGCCTAATATGAGTATTAAATTAAATAAACAAACAAACAAACAAAAAACAAAAAATACCAACGCTCCAGCCCAAGGTTCAGCAAACTTTTTCTGTAAAGGGTCAAAGAGTTAAGTATTTTAGGTTTTGTGGGACACAAATACTTTTTGCCTAATATTCCTCTTTTTCCTAACCATCAACCCTTTAAAAATATAACACTATTCTTAGCTCTACAGTAGGGAGGTATGAAAATAAATAGTGGTCCCAGGCTACTTTGCAGACCTCTGCTCTAGCCAAATTAACCTTATGCTGCTTCAAATATGCAACACATACTTCAAATACTTGAAAACAAAATATCTTAATATTAAAATATATAATCATCTAATTTTTCTAAGAGCATAATCTTGTGGAACAGTAAGTGATCTACTTTTGAAATGCCAATACATCCATTAGTATTTTTAAATTTCTACTTTGTTTATTCCCAAAGTTCATTAAATACTTATAACTGTTACCCATCATTAAAATGAATTTTAAACATTAAAATTTTTTAAAAATTAAAAAAAAAAAAGTTAAGTGTTTCCATTTTAAATTGTAGACACATTTCCAAATAGTTTAATAGAAAAGTAAAATTAAAACTGTCCTTCATGAATTGTATTAATGCCAGAGTATATATAAAGCACTGGTATATATATTTTTAAAAGCTGTAAAATGATTTCTGCAATAGTTTTGTAGTCAACTTAATCAAGTTTAAGAAAATACATTTTAATCATTTCCTTCTAAGTCCCCTAAATCACATGTATATGACAGTACTACAAATAGCTACACATGTGCTCCAAGAATGTAAAGTTTATGCCAGAAAAATATTAAGAAAGCTAATCCCACCAACTTTATATAAGCAAGCACTTTAGTAAAAGAAACGTCCAGGTACATAAAAGGAGTAGGAAGAATTTTCTAATCCTCAATGGAACAAAAAAAGGTTTCCCTAAGAAGTATATCACATGTGGTTTACATTTGGAATGAAGAGCAAAAGCGCTAGTAACTAGTTTTCAAAATATGGCCTTGAAATATTTTTTATATTCCCCTTTCTTTCATAACATCATAAAAAATCCTCACACTGATAAACCCAACAGATTTATTTTCAAATTTAACACCCAAAAAACCTAAAACCACAGTTTAAAATGTCACTATGCAAGTGTTGCACCCAAGGAAGAAAATTGCAAAATAATGCTAGAGATTTCAAAAAAAATTACAATGCTTAAAAAACCTACTCAACTAATTTGGTAATGAAATTTAAAATTCAATTAAACTTGTCATATGTCTTAAAATAAAAAACTTTCCTAATTAAATGTAAATGCCACAGAATTTTCATTCAAACGGTATTTATTTGATGGGAGGTAAGATAAAATTTCTTGCTGCTATACAAGTTAGGACTTATTTTACTGTGTGTGCATTCTTTCTAATAAAAAAGGTTTAAAATTTTTCCAGGAACAGAAAAATAGGATCAGAGTAGGTCAGAAACAAAGGCACCAATGACTTCAATACTTTTAGACTCAGAAACTTATTAAAGAATCATGGCTTTTAAACAGCTAGAGAAAAAAATACTAATAAATATTTTTCAGAATAATGAGTTGTTGAGCTATCATTCATCTAAGGTGACAATGAAACTTTGTTAGTTATCACTAAGAAACTGTGGATTTCAACATACATGAAGTATCCTTCTTTGCTCTACCGCTTGCCTCCCCAAAACAAAAACTTGAGTCAGATCAAGTCTCTGGAACCAACTCCAATTTACGAGAAATTCAAGGATGAAGAAACTTGCTAAACATCACAAGGATAGAATCAACAAAATTCATGTGAGATACTTTACACAGGACTGTTTCTTTAAAAAAAAAGGGAAAAATAAAAAAGAACAGAAAATCCTGTAGACTAAAGACTGTATTTATCAGCCAATTTAAAGGAACTAATTGTGAAAATAAATAAATATTGATAAGACTTGAACAAATTTGGGCTTCAGTTACTATAAAGACATGACAATGTTTAAGATATGATAAAGATATTTTTAAAGAGTTCTTATCTTTTAGAAATACATATTAAAATACTGAGGAATAAAATCATATGAAGTCAGGGATTGCATACAAAATAATTTGGGAAAGTATATATATTTAAAGTATGTGTCAATACTTGTTATGGTTGGGTGATGAACACAGACCAGTTTACTTTTGCATATGTCTAAAACCTTCTAAAATAAAGAATTTTTAATATCGGTAAATGGTCAAAATCAGTCAAGTGGAGAGTATGGACTTATCAAGATTTCTAATTTAGTAGCATATATTTTTAAAACATAAAATGGAAAAAAATTTAACATCCACTTCGTAAAACATGAATATTACCTTCGGAGACTAATTTTAATTATTTACTACCTGAAAGAGGTTTAAAAACATCATTAGTTTAACATAAACATAACAAATTCAGAAACTTTAAAAAACATACCACTATGTAAAGTAATATCTAAAAAATTCTAAATATACATCATCTGCCTGACACTGACAATAAAAAATAATTTCAGTTTGCTAATATTTTACTTACATTTTCCATATAGTTTGGCTTAAAACCCTCTTGCTGTCGCCTCAGTTCTTCCTGCTCTCTGTGTCGGATCATTTCCTCCTCGCGACGACGATGCTCTTCTTCATGTCTAAAAGATTTCAAATAACAATTTCAGCATGATTGACAGGTAAGCCATAACTGGGTATTTTATTTCAAGTTAAACAAAATTTATACAAGTTATATATTATGTCAAATCCGCCAATAATGACTGCCTTTAGCAGATTTTGACCTTCCTTATTCTATTTTACTCCAAATCTTAATTAAATCAAAGAAATAAAGAAACTTAAAATAGGATAAATTAAAAAAAGATAACATATAACTAGGGTAGTTATATGCTTACGGTAAAAAATTTACAGTCCAAAGCTCAAACATGCACTCTGTTATTTTATAAAGAGAAAAGACTAGAACTCATCACTGCCAAGCAGAGTTCTTAAAGATGCTTGGAACCCATCCACTCCGTGTAAGATATCGTGAAGGACCACACTGCCTGGACAAAAACTCCTATGTGGAAAAGGAAGTCTGAACAAACCTCCTCACCCCCATTTCATCAACCCACGAAGGGAATCCCTGGAGCAGGTATCAGCCTACCACCTGCTCCTCTAAGTTCAGTTTTATAGGACAATCACTTACTCACTGGCTATGGCTACTCTTAGGCTACAGGACTGTTTGAATAGTTGAGACAAAGACCATGTGACCTGCAAAGCCTAAAATATTTACTATCTAGCCCCTGCCCAGAAAAAAGTTTGTCAGCCTGTCCGTGAGGTATATTCAAGCAATAAAAAATCAAATTACATGTATGTGCAAGATTTCTAGTAAATCAATAATTAGTTATAATACAATTAAGAGGGAAAACCTACAAAATTATTTTGAAGTAATAGACTCTCAGCCCAAAAACAAAAAAGTAAATAGTGAGGACCATATAATGCTGATGCCTCCTCAGTAGGTCTCATTTTCCAGGTCACTTTTATAAGCACCTTCCTATGCTGACTTTAATACTCAAAATTCAAGACACTTCTTTGTTGTCTGTTGTACAACACTCACCAAGCTAAAGGAAATGGCATTATCTCCCACAGCCAGCAAAAGAAAATGGCTGTCAGGACTTTTGTCAGACCACATGCAAGCAACAGACAATGTCCCTAAGGGGGTTCAAGCAGATTCTGACTATTTTGAGAATTCTAAGTCTCCGACATACTCAAATAAATTAAAAATTCAAGTAAATAGGTTAATCCATTTCTTGGACATTAATACACTCATAAATTTTACTGTTAAGAAAATACTTTCATATTCATATACTGCTGACAATGCACATAAGTACAGGTAAAATTAAAATTTCCCTATTCAAAAGCTCTTAAGGCCAAATGCATTTTGAAATCGAATTTTTCTGATTTTTAAAAGGATCCATGTACTATTATTATATCTCCAGTGAGATCTGAGGTAGGACCCAAAACTCAATCACATTAATTTTTCTGCAGTGGAATGAACATCCGTCCATATTCTGTGGCAATAATAAAGGTCTGTTATGACCACAACATAAGTGCAGGTCAAGTTCTGCCATCAAACAGGCTCGTATAGGGTCCTGCCACATAATGAATGATACGTGAAAAAGTTTTTGGTTTTCAAAGCTTTCTGGTCTTTGGATTTGCAACAATGACCTTGTTGAGGGCCAATCTGTGGTACTACTAAGATCATTTTACATGTGCGAGCCCATTTCCAGTAGACTAAACAAATATCTGCACAAGTGTGCAGGGATGTCTGTACACACAGATTAAACACTGTGGCAAAAGGCTGGAGATACAATCAATTATGAAGGCGGGCAGCCATGGTTCTCTGACTCCAGGTGTTACAAAGCGGCGATCTGCACTTGCAGATGGGAGAATGTCTAAGGTACAGCTGTCAGAAAGAGGCACATACAGGAACGGTGCTCCTACCACTGGCTTTTAAAAATCTCTTGTATGAGCACAGAGAGGCCTGGTATGCATCATACTGGGAATACACTGCGGAAGGGAGTGTTGTTATGTTTATTTTATATACATATGTATCATTATGTGAATTTAATAACGTAACATTTTTAATAAAAAACAAAGTATTTTAAACAAAATTTATAAAGTACTTCTCCCATTGTCAAAGCAATTTTTTCTGATAAAATGTGAAAAGATTTACAAATCAGTAGAAAAAATACAGTAAAAGGGTAACATCACTTTAAATATTTTCTATTTTTTCCTTCCTTTATCCATAAATTCCAAAATTTATTTTGGACTAAGTTGTGATTATACCACAACTGACAATACGTAATTTAAATTAAAAGACAGCATACAGGAACATTCCCTATTGTATATATGTTTGGTTTTCAGTTTTTCTATTCCCTAAGATGTTTTAATAATCATCTTTATATTTAATGTCTCTTCAGGTCAAGGATAACTTCCTAGGTTATATTCACAAATGGAACCAATAAGAAGTGTGACAAGTTTAACATCTTTCACGTTATATTTAATTGGAAACTGATAAAAATCTCAATTATAAAATTATTTTAATCGAAAATAAAACCCTATTAAAAGAAACTGAAGAAGATACAAAGAAATGGAAAGATATTCCGTGTTCTTGGATTGGAAAAATCAACACAGTTAAAATGACATTATTACCTAAAGCGTTATACAGATTTAATGCAATCCCCATCAAAATCCCATCAGCAGTTTTTAAAGAAAGAGAACAAAAAATCATCAGATTTGTATGGAAGCACAGAAAACCCCGAATTGCCAAAGTCATCCTGAGAAAAAAGAATGAGGCTGGAGGCATCACTCTGACCAAGTTCAAATTATACTATAAAGCGACAATAACCAAAACAGCATGGAATTGGCAGAAAAATAAGACACACAGGCTAGTGGAACAGAATCAAGAGTCCAGAAATAAACCCTTATTTATATGGGCAAATAATTTTTGACTAAAACGCCAAAAATATACAGTGGAGAAAGGAAAGTCTCTTAAATAAGTGGTGCTGGGAAAACTGGAAAGCCACCTGCAAAAGAATGAAACTAGACTTGTCTATCACCACACACCAAAATTAACTCAAAATGGATATAAGACCTGAAGCAATAAAGTGCATAGAAGAAAACATAGGAACTAAATTCAAGGACCGTGGGCTTAAAGAGGATTTTATGAATTTGACCTCAAAGGCAAGGGAAGTATGAGCAAAAATAAATGAATGGGACTACATTAAACTAAAAAGCTTCTGCTCAGCAAAAGAAACCGTCAACAAGAGACAACCATCTCAATGGGAAAATATATTTGCAAGCAACACCTCCGATAAGGGTCTAATATCCAAAATATTCAAAGAACTCATACGACTCAATAACAACAACAAAAAATAACAAACAATCCAATCAAAAATGGGCAGAGGACCCGAACAGACACTGCTCCCTAGAGGACATAAAATTGGCCAACAAATATATGAAAAGATGTTCAACATCGCTAGCTATTAAGGGAAATGCAAATCAAAACCACAATGAGATACCATCTCACACCTGTTAGAGTAGCTACAATCAACAGGACAAGTAATAACAAATGCTGAAGAGGATGCGGAGAAAAAGGAATCCTCATACACTGCTGGTGGGACTGCAAATTGGTACGGCCACTACAGAAAGCAGTATGGAAGTTCCTCAAAAAACTAATAATTGACCTGCTGTATGATCCAGCAATCCCTCTACTGGGTATTTATCCCAAAGACTTGAAAACTCATATTCAAAAAGATATCTCCACAGCGATATCAGCATATCAGAACTCATATCAGTTCATAGCAGCATTATTCACAGTGGCCAGGATATGGAAGCAACCGAAGTGTCCTACAACAGATGGCTGACAAAGAAGCTGTGGTACATATATACAATGGAATATTACTCAGCCATAAGAGATGAAATACTGCCATTTGCAACAACATGGATGGACCTCAAGATAATCATACTAAGCGAAATAAGCAAAACAGAAAGGTTGAAAATCACATATCACATATGTGGGATATAAGCCTAAAAGCAACAAATGAATGAGACAAATAAACAGAGACTCATGGACATAGACAATGGACTAGTGGTTACCAGAAGGGAGGGGGAAAATAATAAAATATTTTTAAAAAATTATGCATATATAGTATGAAAAAAATAATAAACTGACATTTAAGAAAATAAAATAAATTCTAATGGCATTGTATTAACTTACAACTAAAACAGTAAAAAAAAAAAAAATGTATCTTAACCTGAAGCCCGCAAATTATTTTCAGGTCTCATCTGTTTCTGTAGGACTCTGGAAAACAGAGAGGGCTTTAAGCACTGAGCTATGACATGACTAGGGAGCAAAGTCCCACTGCTCTTTGTTCCTATTCAGCACTGTGCCCTCCCCTCCGCCCTTTTCCCAGAGCTCAGACAATCTTGAGAGCCTTATTTATGCAACTGACGTAAGGAGTGGGGGGAAGAATGAGTGGGAGGATAGCTGAGTGAGTAGGAAAGGTCAGAGGAGGAGTGAAGGAATGAACTAACAGAACAGAACAAAAGAACAACTGCTAAGTGGTCATGACCTGAACCAGCCACAGCCTTCTTCACCGCCACAGTCTTCAGAGAATTAAGTGATCCACAAAAACCTAAATAATTTCTTTGTAGCACTGAAAGGAAAACCACAAACTTGTATACCACAAATTATTTAATTTCTCTCAAAATATACTTTCTTAAACCAGTTGTTTTCAACCTTCCAACTAAGGCAGAATAGAGGCGGAGTGCAAACTCTCTGGCCTGTTAACAAATTAAAGCCCGTCAGTGGTCACAGCCTCAGGCGGACAAACATCTTCTCTTGAACTGCAATCGCTTATTTGCTTTGTCTTGCAAGTATCAGTATGAAATTAAGTTCCCAGACACAATGGTTTTTTTCTCCCCTTTTACGCATGCTGCAAAAACCACTCAATATTAAGACAAGCTGTTCACATTTCTTAAATCAATATTCTTACAGCAATTTTAAAAGAAACTCCCCAGCTGCCAAGCACAGGATAAGAGTTATATTTATCGCTGCCTGTTGTGTACTAGAAGTAACCAAACATAAACGTTACTCATCAAATTATCACCCGAGTGTTGAGATATTTTTACTATTAGTACATAGAATTCCAAATTGAATCTCATATACGCCTGCCTATTAAGTAAGATTAATAAAAAATCATTCAATGGAAAATTACCATATACACTGAATACTTATCCCATCAGGCACCCAAAATTCCACTTCTCAGGAGCCCAGGCAGTGTTAAGCCCCAGCAGGCGCCCCGCACCACCTCCCTGTGCTTCGCTTGCTCTTTAATGACCTGACCATTCCAGCTGAGGGCCGTCTCCCTCCACAGAGGCAAGACTTGTGTCTTCTGTCCCTGCTGTATTCCCAACGCCTAGGGTACTATTTGTCCCCCCTTATTTTTAACTAATTTTAAACTTACAGAAAAGCTGCAAAAACAGTGCGTGTCTACATATGCTTCATGCAGCATCTCCATATATTAACATCTAACATAACCACAGGACGATTATGAAAACTAGGAATTAACACTGGTATAACACCACAGTTTCACTAGTTTCCCCACTAATGTCCTTCTGTTCCAGGACCCTGTCCAGAATCCCACACTGCATTTAATTATTATTCCTCCTTAGTTTCCTTCAGTCTGTAACAGTTCAGTCTTTCTTGGTCTTTCATGAACTTTGACACTTTTAGAGAGAACTGATTATTTTGCAGGATGTCCTTCAATTGAGGTTTGTCTTTTTCTTGTGACTAGTGTGAAGCTATAAATTTTTGGCAAGAAAACCAAAAAGATGATATTGTACCCTAAATCACATCGAGGGACTCCTGGTGCCAACGTCTTATTACAGGGGACATAAACCTTAACACCTGGTAATGGTGTCTGCTGGATTCCCTAACTTTACTAGTTTTCTATTTGTCCCTAATACACAAAGAGTATGTGAATCCTATTCCCAAGTTTCTGTGCAACAACTTCAGCGGCCATTAGGCCTGGTCTGTAATCGCCACCACTGCAGGGCTGCCCACTGGGGATTATCTCTCCCATTCCTTCCATGTTTATTAACCAGAATTCTATAAGGATGAGCTGCCTGTTCCCCATTCATCCATACATCTACCCACCACTTCTATCGGTACAGACTTATGGATATTTATCCTACAGTTTAAAATCTAACACTATCATCTTTTATTTTATTGCTGGGATTGCTCCGGCTTTGGCCAGTAGGAGCTCCCTTGGTTTGGCTCCTTTGTCTTTCCACATGCTCTACTCTTTTCTGAGTACATTATTACCGTCTGGCACAAGAGATTCCAGGCTCATCTTAAACTTTTCGGTCCCGGAATTAACCACTTCTCCAAAAAGTCCTTGTTCCTTCTATTGGAGGATGGTGTTTATAAACAAAAATCTGGGCACTAGATGCACTTGCTGTTACTGAGGCATCACTGCTTCTAGGCGAGCAGCGCTTTGAAATATGTCTGTATAAACCCACACATATGCACACACCTCTATTTCTGTATCTGTCTCAATTAAATACCAGAGTTCATACTGACATACCTCTAATCCCAATGCAATACCACCGGATTCATTTTAATTGTAGCCTTTCTCCTTTCTTTCCTTCTCCAACAATGAGAAACCCTGTTATCCAGATTTATTAACTTGTTCACTTAAAAAAGTATATACATTACTCTTAACAAAGACCTGATCAAAGAGAAAACAAGCGTATACATGAAGTCGTTTCCGAATTGTTAACTCATATCTCTATGGGAAACAAATTTACTAACTAGATTACAGAATTAATAGTCTTTCTTATCACTACTCTACAATATCCAATCAAGACACTGTTTTCCAAAATTATTTAGGTTCCTTGTTTTCTTTCTCCAGGTGCTTTCAGTGTGATATTATCATCCATTTGTAACATAGTTCAGTACTTTTATTATGTTTGTACCCTATTTGGGGTTCTCCCACATTGTTTGGTTTTAATTATTTGTTTATTTTTGTCAGTATGTGAAGAGTAAGGTACTACTTCTAAAAGCTTAGCTGACAGGTATAAATATAAGAAGAGAAAGCTGGATTCAGATAGGGTTTTATGTTATAAGACATAAAAACCCTTTGTAAAAGCAGAAGAGATTTTATCACATTTACATAAAAAAAGAAAAAAGCAACAAGAAAACATAGGGGAAAAGGTCCCTCAAGTTAGGAGCTCATGTGAAGAGCCATATACAACAGTGACTCTACAACTTCAGGATCAGTCAGAACCTCCAGGATTTGTTAGAGCTCTGCCCCTAGTTTCTTGGAGACGTCTGACCCTTTCTAACGACTTCCCAGGTTAGAATACTGACGCTGCCTGTCCAAATACACAATCTGAGAATAAGTAGGGTGGACTAAAATCAGAGTAGTTCCAAAACAGAAACACTAATAAATCACTGACAAACCAGGTACAAAGGTGGAAAAGTTAATCAGAACACAGTGAATACAACCTGTCCCCAGGCTGCGACAACGCCCATACTCGCTCCCTGCTGCACTAACATATTCCCGGTGAGCACCTTCACCACCACGAGCACTTACTACTTTTTTAGCACTTTCAAAAACAAAACTTTATGCTTGCTTTCATCCATCATAGCTTGTTTATAACACTTCCTACTATAATTTTTGAAACTTTTTAAAGAGCAACATTTATCTCATATTTCACAAATACTGCAAGTAAAAGAGATGTTAAATTTTTTTTACATATCGTGGATCAACCACTCTCCCAAACCTCCTTAACCTAAAAGATTTTAAATTTAACCATCTTAAAATCATCTTTAAACTATCCCAACTGTCCATTATGTACTCAAAATTTAAATCCCAATACCCTTTTTACCACGGATTCCACTTCCAGAAACCCTTTTTAAATCTTTTTCCATTTAGGAAAAAAAAAGTACAGCTCCAATAGAAATGCTGTTTTCTAGGATTTAACATTTTCAGCGATCCAACTACTAAAAACAGAATGCCATAAATAGAATGTCATTTATTTCCAAAGACTATCAATATACTAGAGCGATGCGAAAAGAATAAAAGTGAGATATCTCATGGCAAATCGTGGGGGTAAGGTCAGGACAGTAGTCGGCGAGTTATCTTGGGGCAAATGGGAAAAGGGTTAAACAAATTATCAGAAGCACAAAGATGCATAAAAGGCATTCATAGTAGTGTTATACACAGGAAACAAATTAAAACTAAGAGCAATTCAAATATGTCTATCCCTGGAAAATGGTCCAGTCAGTCACAGTGCAACCTTACAATAAATTAAATGTAATAGTGCCTAAGACCCTTATGTAAGTTCACAATGTATGCAATCGGTGTCCGTAACTAGCTAAAAAATCCTAAAAATTATGCTAGTTCATGGGCTAATACCCTTAGTCAAGAATGGACATTTCAAAAAATATTTTCCAACTTGTACAACTTGTTCATAATGGGCCAAGTGGCGTTTCAATAGCACGCATAAGAACTGTGTGGTCATGTTACATAGTGCTCTTTTACCTCAATTGTATTTGCTTCCGTTTTTGCAGCTCTTGGTTTCTAAGTTCTTCCAAGCGTCTGAGTTCTTCTTGGCGCCTCATTAAATCTATAAAATATTGATTACACATTAATATTTTTAGCTTCCCTTTGTGTATTTTTACATCAGTAAGCATACATTCTCTATTACTTGCAATATATTTAGTAACTTATTCATACTCATGCACTTAGCTTGTCTTTTTGTCTATTCTACCATCTTATAATGAAAGATTTTAAGCTGTGTAATTAATTAAATTAATATATTTTCTGGTCCTGTTTCCTCATGTGTAAGAGAATAATAAAATTCATCTTTCTGTTCAGAAATTAAAATAGCAATTTTTTAAACAGGGTCTAGAAGAGACTAAGAACAGAATAAATAGTAGTTATGTTTTCATTCGCATTCTTTTATACAAATTAGAATGTTTTTAATTTATTGGGGTGGCATTGGTTAATAAAATTTATAGGTTTCAAGTGTACATTTCAATAGCACATCGTCTATATATATACTGCGATGTGCGTTCACCAAAGTCAAATCTCTTTCCATCATCATCTATTTGTGGAATTTTTTCAACAGCAAGTGCAAAGCTCAAAAAGACGCCTTGGGAGACATCAGCACAGGGAACATAAGAAAGAGATGGGACGAGAACCAGGTCAGACAGAGTAGGAATAATGAGACAGGACACCGCATACACCCCAAAGAACCACCTTCCCAACACAATTAGCATAAGATTCCTCCTACATGGAGAAACATCTGAGAAGTAGTGAATAAACTTCCCAAGTGCTAAAACTCTTTGTAATACCTTACCAAATCAGGTGTGCATACATGCAGATTTAAAAAAATAAAAAAATTAAAATACTCTGGATGGCACAATTATTGGCTGCTTTTATTTTCCTTTTCTCATCATATTATCTGAATTTGTAAAATAAACATAAATTACCTCAATTTAACATTTTTAAATAAATCACGGTATTCAGAATTTCCCTAACGCTAACAGTTACAGCTAACTTTCTATGTGGCAAAAACCCTTACATCACACCCATAACCAGGCTGGCACCACAACTCTAACAAGGTAAATGTACCCATTTTGCAGACTGAACAGAATGAATTATGTATGAGTTAGGGAAAAGGAAAAAGATGCATATAGAGTATAACTGTGCTCCAGTCATCCAGCTATTGCATGGTTCAGCTAGGACACACAGCCAAATCTATCCTTGTTCCAAAGCTCGTTCCAAAATGCCAGTATGCCAAACCTGGATGGTCAGACTCAACTGGGAAACTTAAAAAATTAAAATTAGGGAGGGGGGAGGCAAATGGGGTAAAAAGGATCAAATATGTGGTGACAAAGAAATCGAACTATGGGCAGTGAATGTACACTGCAAAATACGTATGACTTACTGTTGTACACTTGAAACTTAGTGGATTTCGTTAACGAATGTCACCATAATAAATAAATAAATAAATTTAAAAACTGAAATTAAAAGGGATTTTAGGGCTCTGCTCAGGAAAGTCAGTTTTGGTTTATGTGGTAGGGACCAGGTGATTCAAATAACAAGCCAGTTAACACTTGGCTGTTAGCTATCTTAACAGCCATCAAACATGACTACGATGATTTCAAACATTTATTATCACTAGCTGTCAACCTTAACTGCTCCCTAGAATTATTTAAGCATCTTTAAATCACAGACCAATTAAATCAGAATCTCTTGGGATGTGGACCAGCCATCAGTATTTTTTGAAGCTCCCTAGATGACTCCACTGTGCAACTAACGAGAGCCACACAATTAGTGAATAATTCCGTTAGCAGGAGAAACCTAGTACAGACCAAAAGTATATAATCTACTTATGTGCCTAAGAGGAAATTCTCCAACGAGCCAAAGTATGGAAAATGTCTTACTATCAATTGTCTCAGAAAGTCAAGCCAGTATTTCCTTCAATAATTTTATCAGTTTTATAGGTTAGCTGCTCTTAACAGACTACCTATCAGAGTATTATAAATGTAAAAACATGTATTACATTTTCTTTCATGAAAAGGAATAAGAAAAAAACATAAATGTTTGTTTTCTGACAATTGGATTTCCTTTTAAGCTGTGCCAGTTGAAAAAGCTGCTTTAACCACTCAGGTATTTCCTTACCTGTAACATTGGTATAATAATTAGCTCCAACGATCAGACAATTAACTTATAAGCACATTATCTGATACTAAACAGGAGCACTATCAACTTAAAACTACCATTTTACATCTGCTAAATTATTTCTTTTATGTTGCTAATATCCAAATTTCCTGAAATTTCACTTAAGTGTATATATTTATACACTGACATAATAATATCCTCCTGGGGGAAAATTGCCAAAATATATATATAAAACTAAGATATGTTTTTATCCTTTGATCCAGTAAAGCACACAGGAATTTTTCTTAAATATATAATCCAAAGGTATCCACAGACATGAAGACATTAGCTGCAGCTCTACTTATTACTAGACCAAATGCATGCTTACCTAACAAATGTAATGATTAAAGAAACCATAAAACAGTATCTACACTATAATTTCAATGCGTCACAAATATAGGCACATAGCAAAAGGAAGCAGAGGGGAATACAAATTTAAAGTTTGCTTTACTAGACTGTAAGAAAGTGTTTTCTCAATTTAATAGCCTTCGAGTCACGAAAACTGAATGTATGCTCCGTGATCTACCAAGTCCATTTTCTAGAAATACAGGAACTGAATCTACAGATTGAAAGGACATAAGTAGACCCAAGGAAAAGTTGAAATATTATGGTGTCCAACAAGTTATCTCTTGAATATAAGAATGGACAGATGAAAAGATGTAATAAAGCAAGTATGGTAGAACACTAATAACAGAATGTAAGTAGTGAAGACCTTACAATACTTTCAAATAATTATGTTTAAAATTTCTCATAATTGAAATGTTGGGGGGAAAACATATCTTGGATAAGTTATCAGACTTTAAAAAGAAAATTTCAAATGAAAGTCTGGTAAAAGGATCAAGTCACTTACCAGGGAGGAAAAAACATGGGCTCCCCACACAGAAACAGAAGACAATGAAGCATGCTATCAAGTACTGAATGAGGGAAATCCGTGAATTTTTACCATCCAAGCACCAGTTTAAAGTACAAGGATCACAGAGGTATTTTAGTACATGCAAGAACTCCAAAAAATGTTGCTTTTATGAACCCTTCTTAATGAAATCATGGGAGGATAAACATCCATTAAGTGACGAACAGAAAAGTGATGACTCAATCTACTCAAAGGTTAACTATTTAAACAGATGAAAATTATAGTTAAAGAAAATGAAAACAGAATTTTGACTAGACAACTGCACTTCCAGGTTCATTGCAGCATTATTCACACTAGACAATATATGGAAGCAACCTAGGTCTCCATCAAGGGATGACTGGATCAAGAAAATGTAGTGTATATAATATACAATGTGGTGTACATATAGACACACAGGTGCACACACATACAATGTACATACAAAAGGATATAGATGCACACACAATGGAACATTCCTAAGCCATAAGAAATACATACATCTTAGCAAATTTTTGTAAATGCTGATATCCTGTCATTTGAGACAACATAAATGGAACTTGTAGGTGTTATTCTCCGCGAAATAAGCTAGACAAAGAAAAACAAATACTGCATGGTGTAACTTGTATGTGAAATCTAAAAAATAAGTCAAACTATAAAAAACAGAGTAGAAAAGTGGTTGCCAAGAACTGGGAAGATGGGGGCAACAAGAAGTTGATGAAGGGGTACAAACTTTTAGCTGGAAGATGAGTAAGGCCTGGAGATCTAATGTATTACATGGTGGCTATAGTTGATAACACTATTAGATAGTTGAAAGTTACTTAAGAGAGAATTAAATGTTTTCACCAAAATAAAAATAAGTAAATCCAGCTTTTACACTTAAAAATAAAATTAAGCCAATGTCATAAGTTCAGACAAAACAGAACCAAATTAATAAACATTGAGATGAAAAGAAGGAAGAGCTGAATATGCCAATTTCCTTGTTTTTTTTTCTTTGGTAATCGAGAATCGAAAGATATCATTTAAAGGAATATACTTCTTTTTCTTGATTTATCATAAATAATACAGAAAAATCCAGTGATGGAATAGAGAATAGTAATGAAATGCATGGTGGAGTTAATATTATCCATTCAGTTATAAAACTACAGTAAGAAAGGTTAACACAAAAATAAGCATGAAAAAAATTTTGGAACTGCCTACTATACTTATGATTAAAAACAAATAGATAAGAAAAAACATAACTTATAATAAATGTAAAGGAGATTTGGCTCTAGAAAAGACTAAACAAACATCAGTAAAGTATAAAGCAATTATTAAAGGGTAGTGGTATGTCCAATTAAGAATATTTACAAAAATTTGCTAAGATATATACATGAAGATTCATTGCAGCATTATTTGTTCTAAAAAACTGGAAAGAGAAATAGATAACAATCAGTAGAGGATGAGCTAAATTACAGCCACTGAACGGAATATCACACATCTATTTAATATAAGGCTGATGTGCGTGTGTATGTCTGTGTGTGTGTGTGCGCACACTTATGCAGAAAGTAAAATATCAAGATGCAGAAAGATAAGCAGGGTTTTTGTTATAAATACACACATCTACCAAGATATGCACAACTTTCTTCATTAAAGGATTCAGAAGAAACAGCGATCCCCACACAAAGCAGCGGTGGGGCGGGAAGGGGACTTCTGTACCGTCTGAGTTTTCTACTTCCACAGTATGTAGACTAGAGGGTCTCAACTTCCTACAGAGCCCCAGAACTGAGACTATCTAACGTCCCTCCCCCAGCTGAGCACACCTTTACAAATGATGGGTGGAAAATATCATTGTAAAACCAAAGAGAAAACTAAATTTTAAATAATGAAATGAATTTATCACCTGCAGACTTTTGCTAAAAAAATTACAAGATGTACTTCAGCGAAAGTGAACCCAGAAGCAAGGAGTAAGGTAACACAAAGCAATGTGCTTTCCTAATAGTATAAACCAAAACAATGTATACAAAAGAACAATGAAAACTCATGGGAAATAACTTTGCAAAATTACTCTGCTCCAAGTCCCAATGCCCTTGGGGTAACACAGTTTATTAAGACTTCTCTGAGGCCTAATAAAACAGTGCGTCCTGTGTCATCACTCCACCCTCAGTCCCTCGGGCAGCATCTCCTACAACTAACAGTGAATACATGCTTAAGTAATTAACGGCTGTTATACTCCAGTTCGTTTGTAAGGAGCAGCAACAAATCCTTTGATGTTTACACTTCTAATCAATGTTATTTCCTAATCATGGCATGACAGTAGATAATGGGAAAATAAAGTGGCAAAGTGCCTGGCAGGCTACGAGCAGAGAATGGACAGAAGTTCTAGAGTAATCACAGCACCAAGGAAACTAACGTTTGTTAAATTTCCCAGTTGATTCTGGTGTGTAACCAAATTTTAAAACCAAGAAACCAGCGGACTGGATAAACTTGAAGCTCTCTTCCAGCTCTAAGCAGCCAATGATTTTGGACTTTATCTTCGGTAACAAATTTTGAGACTATCTTTAAACATACTACATGATATGAATGAGTTTAATTTTATTAGAAAACATACAGACTGCTAGGTTTAGGGTCCAAATAAACCAAATGTATGACTAGTTTCTATTGTTTGTTCAAATGAATTTTGTTTTAATTTATCTGACATCAGCACAGGTATTCAGTGACTGGATCATAAATAATCATTTACTGAACAGAAAGAAAAAAGAAAACCCAAGATTTTATTCTAAAGGTAATGAGAACCTGCCAAAAGGATTTAAGAGATTGAACGGTGATCAAATTTTCACCTTTCAAAGAAATACTCTAATATAAAGAATGGTATAGAGGAGGATGGCAGAAATACCATAAGAAGGCTACTGCAAAATCCAGGCAGGCATCTGTGGTGCCTTGATCTCTGGGGGCAGCCAAGAGAAAGTACAAAAATGTTTTCAGAAAAGCTAAAAAAAAGCTTCATCACACCTTCCTGCACAAAAAACAATAGCAATTTTCCATACTCTCATCTGGTGTTTTTTTCTTATTTGGCCACACATCTTCAAACCTTTCCTAGGGTATGTACCACAAAAATGATTTGGCTACAGTTTTCTACATAAATCTGGGCATGTTTAGAATAATTTCCAGGCATAAACAAACTTCTAGTTATAATAATAAAGACAGGCATAAAAAGAAACCTAAGAAGAGAAAAAGGAAACAAGAAGTGAGCTAGTATATATTTAAACAGCTTGTCATGTTGCTGGGTATTTGACCAGTAATATGAGAGTAAACTATCACCCTTTATGACTGCTCTTAGAAATTCAGTCAGCTCAGCCTGAAGTGTTTAAAATGTTCCTGCCAATTACTAAGAATTTAGTCTTCCTGAATCCCTATACCCACTAGCACATACGAATCTTTATCTCTGCTAAAGATATTTGCCATCTTTTGACACGTAGTAATAGCCAGCATTTGTCCTAATTCTCTCCACCAAACAAAATCTTGATATGTGACTTTATACTGTATCTATGTACCAAGAATTACCCACAGAGCTTCTCTTTTTGCCAGCAAAATCATGTATTTGCTACTGGCGAAATTTAACAACCTTAATTACCTCCGACATTACTTTATGTAGGTAAAACTTATTTTTAATAAATTTTAAAGGAAGTTCTTTCAGAAAAGGGAGATTTTTGTTCTAACATGTTGAGTTCCAACTGTCTCTAAACTCCTAACTGGCAACTTAAATAGTACTAAACATCAGTGAGAAATATAAATGAATCTCAAGGAAGAAAACCATAACACATCTACATGAAACCCATTTTTACCTTGCCTCATTAGCATTAACTGGTGCTCGTGCCTAGCTGCTTCCATCTCTGCCTCCAGTTTCTCTTTGGCTTCTCTGATGTTTCTATCAACCTGCTCGCGCTGCTGCTTTTCCATTTCGTCAAGAGCCTTCCACCGAGATGCATACTCAAATTCAAATGTCCCAGGTTGAGCGAAACGTGGTGGCTGTTTTTTTTTCCCTAAGTTTACATTTAAAAACATACAGAAATGTATGTTTAAAAGGTAAAACAACAAATAAAAATAGTAAGAACTACCGTTTACTGACCACTTAACAAAGTTCATGGCACCATGTCAAAAAAGTAATCTATATGAACTGCCTCATGGCAATGTTGTGATATGAGTTTCAACCAGCCTGAGTTTGAGAACCTGCCCAAGGACACCCAACTGATAAGTAAGGGAACTTAGGCAACTGGATGCTGTAACTCATACTCCTCCAATTATCACCTCCAGTAAGGTCTTTCTGGTATTCAACAATTTTATTTTACATAAGGCAGTCTGCAATACATGAATCAAATGTGCCCTAAGCTCATTGTCTGGATTCATTTTTTTTTTCTAACAGGAGTTAACTTTTAGGGATAGCAGTAAAAGCAGATAGTGCTGGGTTAATTGGCTAGGACGAAAAATTAAGGCCTAACTTACTATAAGTTGTTCAATACTTGTTTCCCTTTCTAGACTATAAATTCAGGACATGAAATGTCTGTTAACTGTTAAACCTCAAGTACCTACCGCCGTATCTGACATATCACACAGTTCTTGAATAAAACATGATGAACAAGCAATTGACCCAAAATTTTTTTAAAAAATAAAGACCTGTGAATATACCTGAAATTCAAAGAAATTCTTCAATTATATTTGCCTATCATAGCTTCTATTAAAAACTGATAAAACCACAATCTCCAGCCCACCAATAAAAGTATAGATGCCTTGCTTTCATAAATTTTAACTTTTATTTTGGGGTGGGGAGGGGAAGATGGGTGGGTGGGACAAAGATGGGAGATAACTGGGAGGCTGTCACAGAGGGAAAGATGTAGTAACAAAAAATAGCTTCAAGGATTTTCCAATGTATATAAAGAAAATCAAAATTAATCACGATCTAGGTAGTCTGATGCTACAGAACAGACTTGAACTTTGTTCTTTTTAAAGCACTGTCTGAGAAAGGAAAAGGAATAGGGGTATCTACCACTCACTAATTTTTCTGAAAGAGTTGTTTATTTAGTCAGTAGTTTCTATGTCAGACCTTGACTACAATAATAAATATTAAGAATTATTTTTCTCCAAAGGAAAAACACTTCTTAAATTTTGAATTTTGGGAGTTAGAAATGAATTTGAACCATGGCTCTTATGCTTTGTGAACATTTCATTCTGAGCCTAACTCTTTAGTAATAAAACTAGGAATATAACATTATAAGGTTTGCTGAAATAATTAAATCGTTATGTGAACAAATATTGTCTATAAATTCTACTTCTTGTACATCCTTATAATTCCAGTTGCTAACTCCTGAATCCAAAAGAATACTCTACCTCAAATTTGTAATGATTAGCTATAACCAGAAAAAAAAGGGTCAAGAGAACAAGAAATCAGTCATTTTTTGAAAAATGGCATTATGAGAGAGACTAAAATGGTTATGAATTACAACTGATTGCTATTGATGCTTCTTCCCTCCAATAACGTCTTCTCTTGCTCTCAGCAGGACACACTCGGCTAGCTGTCCCCCTTACTCCACCGATTGCTCTCACTCGGTCTGTGCTGATTTCCCTTCTGATCTTCTCAACCTCTAAGTACTGGAGTATTCCAGGGTTCAGTCCTTTGACAGTTTCCTATCCCATCAGATAACTCTAGCCCAGACAACTCATCTAAAATCAGGTAAAACTCCATGCACTGACTTGACATCTCTACCTCGATGTTCAAAAGCCACCACGAACTTAACATGTCCAAAACGGGGTTTCTGATCTTCTCCTCCCCCCTCCGTCTGCTCCTCCTATAGGATTCTCCTAATCAGTCATTAGCAACTTCCATACTTCCAGTTACTTAGGCCAAAAATCTTATAATCATCCTTTTAACTCTGACTCCCATATGTCCATACCCATCAGCGAAATCTAAAGTCTACTTTCAAACCACACCCAAAACCTGACCCCTTCTCACCGTCACCACTGTCAGCACTACTCCATGTCAGCAGGCTCCCAAATCCTCTCTTAACTCTTTAGAATCTACTCTTAAAACAGAGCCAGAACGCGCCTGTTAAATTTAAGACTAAGTCACTACTCTGGCTCCTTTCTCATAAAACACCAAAGCCAAACCAAAGTCAGCTCAACGGTCTACAAGGCCTAATAATCTGCGCCCCTCCCGGTATGTCCTAGCTCTGCCTCGTCCCCACTGTTTCCCCCTTACTTGCTGTGCTCCAGCTGAGCCAGCCTCTTCACTGCTCCGGGAACATGCCAGAGTCCTCCCTTGGGGCTTCTGTACTTATGTTCTCTCTGCTGAGATCACATCCTCTACTCCACTCCACTGCTGATTTTCTCTCATTCCTTCAAGCTGTTAACCAAACATCACCCTCAAGTAGGCTGTGCTAACCCCCAGTATAAAAGAGCCACACTCCTCAGCTCCCCAGCACCCACTTTTCCCTGTCTTGTCACCCTGTTCATCTTACTTACTGTTTACCGACCTTATTACTCCCACACAGCATGAAATTCTAGTCTATTCTGTTCACCAAGAGATCTCCAGCACTAGGTACACAGCCAGCATCAATTTGTCATTTGAATGAACAAAAATAACAACAAAAATTCAACTAACTGTACTAAAATCAAAGAATGCTACTTTAAAAAAATTCATAAAATACCATTTAGAACATACAGGTTATCAAATCTTAAAATCACAACAACATCCACTTTTTGATCAAGATGAATACTTATATACATATACATATATATATACACACATCAATGAATATAAATTGGTATATTTCTGGAGAACCATTTGCCAGTATTAATCAATGTTAAATATGTATGCCTTTTGACCTAAGCCTTTATATCTCACTTTAGTGATCTTTTTTAAATAGTACTTCTCACTACTTGATATGTTTAATAGTGAGTGTGAGAGAGTGTGTGTGTGTGTGTGTGCGCGCACAACAATAAATGTAAGCATCATGAGGGCAAACAGTTCGAAGTAGCACTCGGAGTACCCAGAATAGCACCTGGCACAAAGGGATTCCAGTATTTGTTGAATTCATGGATACAAATATATTATTTATTATAATAAAGAAGTTATTCATTAAATATTAATACAAGGTAGTCACAGAGGTAATTTACATAAAAATATATCATACTGAGTGAAAAGCAACTGGTAAAAGAATAATATACAACATGTCAAAAATAGGCTTTTTTCTTTTTTCTCTCTAAAGGGTTCTTACCCTGTGTCAAATTATTTATATAGGACTTTCCCCACTCTACCTCCCAAAAATGTCTCTTTGAACTTACACCTGAAGTGTACTAATTAAAGAAATATTTTCATAGTTATCTAGAGTTCACTGTTTCCCTGGCATAAATATTACTCACAGTCTCCTCCTACCCACCTACTCCTGCCCCAATTATAAAAGCAGAGACTTCTCTAAGTTAACGGTTCACCCACATACAAAAGAAAACTAACACTCCACGCAGATCAGGCCACTCTATTAACCAGATTATATCACTGAACAGAACACCCTACAATCCAACAATACCTGAAAACAAATGTAATAAATACCTTGGATGTCACTTATCTAAAGTATCTTTATTAATAATATCTTACTTATGATATTGTTGAGTTTTCTGCATTAGCTTCTCTGGCAAGCCATCTTCATCATCAAACTGTTCCATGGGCTCCACGATGACTGGACGTGGGGTCCTAGATGGGTGAAAAGCATTAATAAAAATAAACGCAGTATCTAGAATATCCTCCTAGAAATTTTTTAATTCCAAGTTATACACTTGGAAAATATCTCTCAAGAAAAATGCTCAGAAGTCACCACACTCATAAAATCAGTTAACGGTCATTTGCTGAGCCAGACGCAGGTGGCCATCTAAGTCAGCACAGAATCTACTCAAGGTGACAGAAAAGCAAACCAACAACTATGAACCTGAGTAACCACTGCAGTTAACTTTTACAAAGTACAATGGAGAATGCAAACCTAACTCCTGTTTTATGCATGTGGTGTCATGTCCCCATGTCCCACACCTCAAACTCCCATCTCCGCCCACCACCCCCTACCTTTCTTCATCTAATCAGTCTTGTTCAGAAGTCTTTCTAAAACCTAAAAGGAGGTGACAAGGTAGCCACATGGTTAAGTCGATGGACTGTGAAACTCCAAAAGGAGACCTAAAAGGTATCAGCCAGGCAAAAGAGGAGGAGGAGGGAAGAGTCAGAAGAGTGAAAGATTTAGATATGACTTGGGAATCCTCCTTCTTACTATTTTCCTAAAGTAAGAGGAAGGGGAAGCTGAATGAGGGAAAGAAAAGGAGATTAAGTGGAGTGGATGATGTGCTGATATTAAATTTTTCCTTGCTATCAGTCTCTCATGCAGAAAAAAGTAAAATCTATTTATAGTGCCTTCTGAACAGAGACGCTTCAGAGAGAAACGAGTTACTTTTAACCTTTGGGGTGTTAACAGAAAAGCTGGAAAATGAAGGAGCTTTCTGGACTCCAAAAGTATTCCTCTTATAAGTAAAGATCCAGAGATTATCAAAGACTTTAAATCATAAATTATAGGAAAAGATATAAAATAATTATTTTTAAAAAACTCCTGGGCTACTGGAGTCAAATACCATGGGAGTGATGGAGACAGTAAGATTATAGAAACCTCATATAAACTGAATGGGAACCCAGAAGAAAAGAGACTTACAGGCCTCAATTTCCAGGGTGAGACCACATTCCCAACATGTAAGAACAGAAACAATGAAGAATGAGTAAGTAAATACAGCCACAAAGAGTACATGCGACCCAATGAGGTATGAGCAAGTGGCTTAAAATTCCTGAGTCTGCTCAACCCATGGGAGGATGAGGTACTTCTAAGAGGGCCAAAGGGGCCCAGGGACAAAATGATGATGTACCATATGGACTCCTCACCCACTGGAAGCCATGGCAGTACCACAACATTAGAACAGTAACAGGGCCAAATAAGAACAACACTGAACAGAGACCAAAAAGGACAGAAAATACAATACCACAAGGCCACCACCACCCAAGAGAAGAATCAGAAAAGGAAAATGTACTAAGTAGATCATTTGTCACTCAGAACATGACAATTATTTGGAATTGACAAGATTAATTTGATGAAGTCAAGGAAATGTTGAACAAAATCAGAGAACATAGTGACATACATTAATTACAAAATTTCAATTTTTAACCTATATGGCCCACTAGACACTCTTATACATGGGGTGGGGGTGTGTGAGGGGGGAGTGCTACAGCCCTCTGGGAGAGAACCTGACTAATAAATACGAATGTTACACATTTATGCCTTGTTCCTGCAACTTTGCGTCTAAAAGGATAAATGAGTAAGTGAGCAAAGATCAGTCACAGACACATTCGCCGTATTACATTACACAAAAAGATCAGGTGTGGCATACAGGGGTGTCTTCAAGGACTGTCTTACCTTTTGTCTACTGAGATACAGGCTACAATGTGACACTGATGGTCTCACTATATGTACCACTCCTTGTAGAAGCTCCCTTTTCCACTATCATACCCTCCTGTTCATTTCACTTTCATATTTAGGTGTTAACAAGAGTTTTTCTAAAACCTACCTTAAATTCTACTTATAGGTATAATTACTAAATTTACTTTTTTAAACAAAATGTAGGTAAACATTATATAGGGTAAAAAAAAAAAAAGGAAATAAATCAAAGTAGTCAACCACAGCAGTAAATCTGGAGTTGTTATCTGGTGGGGTTTTTCCCTCCTCACCTTGCTCCTAATCATTAGTATTGTTGTAAAATTGATAAACGTTCCACTGTAGAAAAATTTAAACAATATACTTAGGTTTTATAGAAGTTCCGTGAAATCCCATTATTTGGAGAGGACCCCTGATCATGTTTTATGAACATCTCTTCAGATTTTCCTTTCTGCTAGATACACATAATTTTACGTAGAGTTAATCACCTATATGTGCTTTCTTCAGACATCCTGTATCAATCACACAGTATAAAATGGCACAATTCTTTACCCATGCCAGTTGGTTTCCACATTGTTCTTTCCTATGATACATAAATAATGAGACATATCTGTGACTGATCTTTTCTCACTTGTTCGAATCTCTCTTTAGAACTGTGAGAACAAGTTAGAACATACAGTACTAAAAACATGGTAACTTAAAAAGATGCAACATTTTGCACAATTAAAAAAAAATGGAGTATGTAATAACAATGTTTCACTACTAAATTATCCTTGCAGACATACACCATTTTGTGGGTTTTTTCATTTGTCTTTTTTTTAACATAGTTGAGAACCGTAGAAAATAAAATAATTTCTAGGATAAAATAAGATGTTGTATGATATAAGAAAAATAAAATCACCAGAACCTGATAGTGTTATCTTAAGACTTATAAAATGACCCAATGGGTCCATATGGTAATTTTAAAAAAAGCTGAGTTTATTCTTTTTAGTTTTTTTCCCTTTTTTGAAGACCTCTAAGAAATAATAAATTATCAATCCTTACTAATAATTAGGACTGCTCAAAAAAGAGAGCAAAAAACTAAAATTGAGCCAAATTGACATTGATCATGTACCAGGGCTGTGTGCTTTTCTGCAAAGGTAAGAAGCAATGAGTACTTCACCACCAGCAGGACTGTCTAGAAAACTCGTTTCCAACATATAAACAAAAGGAATATTACATCGTTTTTATTAAAGAAATATTTTTTCCTGAACCTAAACTAATGCAAAGGTATGTGATGAAGCAAATGTAATGCTGGAAAAAGTAATCCCTTTAAAGCATGAGTATAAAATAGGAAAAGTATAAAAAATTATTAATAGAACGATTACCTGACGCAGAAAAGAGTTAACAAAGCAAGCCTGAAACTTCTCTCACCTTAACTGATAAGGCCGGTGTTCTGTGCCAAAATTGTACAGTCTGGTTAATGCTGAACATAAACCTTTTGGGTTTGTTTCCTTCTGGGAGTCTGAAATTTTGTTTTTTGTTGGATATAAGGGAACCTACGAAAGTGACACTCCACTCTCCACCCCGACACTCTTTGGGTCAGCTGTGTTCCTCTAGTGGTTAACCCTTTATTGTCTCACTAGCTGCTGAAGGGTGTTGAGCTCGCCATGAGGCCCTGAGGATGCAAGAGGGAAACTCTTGGAAGCTCACACCTCGTTTCCTCCAGACTTCACCTGCACTTTTCCTTTGCTGAATCTGCTCTGTATTCTTTCACTGTAATAAATCTTAGTCATAGGACTAAATGTGGAGGCCTGAGTCCTTCAGGTGGACACCAAACCTAGAGGTGGTCTTGGAGACCACCAAGATATACCTGTAAGCATACTGTAATCCAATTTCTACTAATTCAGTCAGGTTTTTATTTCCAGTCTTTTTTTCTAATCAGTTTGACATAAGTTTGGATCACAGCATACATCTAGTTTTGTCTTTTTTTACTTGTAAATTGATGTTTTACTTACAGAAGAAAAGTTTTAGAGCAGTTGTTAGCATATGTGCATAGCTGAATGCTCTGCCACAAACAAATGAGTTCGTAGTTTTTGTTTTTATTTTTACTGAGACATAACTTTACCCTTTCAAAGTGAACAGTTCAGTGATTTTGGTATGTGCAGCCAGTACCACAATCTAACCCCAGAACATTTTCATAATCTCAAAAAGAAACCCCAAACCCATTAGTCATCAACTCCTCATTCCCCTTCACTCCTGAAGACTATTAGTCTCTATGATATAGCTATCTTAAAATTCTTTTCACGAGTATTGCGTTTTCCAGTGTCATAGTCTTACCAAAATTACTATATACTAATCAACTGTAAATATAACCTACTTGACCAATTCTCTATTAAGAAATTTAGATTTGCCCAGTATTTTGTTATTAGAAATAAAGTGATAAATCGGGTATAAAGTGATACACCAAACCTTGGAGTCAAAATATTTACCTAAAATACACCTCTATTATATTAGTGAGTCTAAGAATCTTAAGGTTTTTATATCCAGTGCCTACATCCCTTCCAGAAACAAAATGACCAATTTCCATTAGCACAGGAGTTTTAAAACACAGAAATACAAGAGTTGCAAGAGAATTGGCATAGGAAGCAATAAATTTTTTCTCTCAAAAAGAACAAAAGTAAAAGGGACAAATTATTAGCAAATAGAGTAATGCTACCCATAACAAGGATGTGAGCCACATCAACAGTTTTAACAGAAAAGAGATTACTCCTCACAGACTATAAGTCAAGAGTTTTCTTCTAAGTTAAAGGCTTTAACAATTCATCTTGCCCTCCTCAATCTCTCACTTTCTAGTAAGTGTAGGTTACCAATGTTCAGTTAGTTTAAAAAGAAACCATTAAAACTTTTCCCAATGGAATTCTGAAATAAACTTGCCCAAAAAGAGCTATACCCAGGAAACAAAGTGGCCAGACATTTATGCACCATAATGTTTGTCACAAGATCAGTTAAGAGAGCATAAAAGGGAAACAACCTAATGTCTAAAAATGGCATGTCTAATGTCCAAGGAGCAGCTACAATGAAATACTATGGAGCATTTCTAGTGATATGTGAAAAAACTCACAATATACCAATAAGAAACATTAAATTCCCTCAGTGTGACAAACACACAGTGGCTTCATGAGAGAACAGTCTCAGCAGACACATGCCAACTACTGTATTCTGGGGTAAAGTATGATATCTGTAGCTGAGTCTCAAATGAATTCACAAAAATCTGTGTGTATATAATGAGGAAAAATGTGGCAAAATGCTAACAATTAGTGAATACAGGTACCATTTATATTAACATTAAAGGGTTGTATTAAAGGGAAAAGTTTTTCTAACTGCAGTTGAAATGAACATAATTTTCTACTTCTACTGAAGCAACTCCAACATTGTTTTTAAGGCATCAGTTAGAAAATGGTAAAATCAGACCACTATATTTTCATTTAACTTAACCTGCAATAATCTTAAAAAAAAAAAAGAAAAAAAGAAAAGAAAGAAAAAAGAAAAAAAAATCTAGCGAGAGAATAATCTAAGTGGTGAGCGCCTATCAGTCCCGCATAGTGGTCCAGGTGCATCTCAGTGTGAACAAACCACTGTCGCCCAAGGTAAAGGTTTTTCATTTTCCTTTTTTCTCTTGTTTTTCTGCTTCTTGTAATTTCAAAGGAGCATAACCTGTACGTACAGGCAAAAACTTTCAAGATACTTCACAAAGGATATAAAAATAGCCAAAAAGCACATTAAAGGTGCTCATTATGAGTCGTTAGAAAATAAAATTTAAGCCACAATGGGACACACATACACTCTATAATAAATATCTAAAAGACAGACACTATCAAGTGTCGGTGAGGACACAGAACTAGAACACTCCCAGTAATTGCTGGTGGGAATGTAAAATGGTACAAGCACCTTGGAAAAGTTTGGTAGTTTCTTATAAAGTTGAATATATACCATTTACTCCTAAATATTACCTAAGCCACATGAAATCATAATGTTCACAAGAAGCCTTGTACACAAATGTTCATAATGGCTTTATTCACAGTAACCGACAGGTGGAAGCAACTCAAATGTCCACCTTAGATCACCGGAAAAACTGTGGTTAGGTCCATATGAAGGAGTACAACTCAACCATAAAAAAGGAACAAAATACTAATACAATAACAGGGATGAAATCTCAAACATTATGCTAAGCAAAAGGAATTAGACACAAAAGAATATATACTACATGATTTCATTTATATGAAATACTAGAAAAAAACAAAACTAACTTATAGTTAACAGAAAGATCAATAGCTGTCTGGGACATAAATGTGGAGCGGAGAATAACTCCAAAAGAGCACAAAGGGACTTTTGTTGAATGATGGAAATGTTCTATATTTTGACAGCGGTAGTAGGTAACGTGAATATACATACCTTTGTTAAAACTCACTGATCTAAAACTGGGTGCATTTTAATGGATGTAAATTATACCTCAATAACAATTAATTCATTCATTATTTAAAAATAAGACATACCTTGTTTCATTGCAATTCGCAGATATTTCGTTTTTTACAAATTGAAAGTTTGTGGCCACCCTGTGTCAAGCCAGTCTATTGGCACCATTTTTCCAACAGCATTTGCTTTTTTTAGCAATGAAGTATTTTTAAATTAGGGTATGTACATTCTTTAAAAACATAACACTACTGTACATTTATACAACTATGACAGATGTAAATATAACTTTTATATGCAATGGGAAACCAAAAAAAATCATGTGACTTGCTTTATTGCCATATTCGTTTTATTGCAGTGGTCTAGAACCTAATCCACAATATCTCTGAGGTGTGCCTGCATAAAATTTTGCTTTGTATCTATGTTCAGGAAGCTGATTGAAAATCATAATACAAAACACTCCTGAGATTCAAGTACAAATCAAGACACTTTAGTTTGAAGAAAGTGTGATCCTGATTCCTAAAAGAATACAAAAATTTCTTTTTTATAGGCACTGAATATTTACTCAACACCTACTTACTGTATAGCAAAACAGTATGAACTATTAAGAAAAGACAGAAATCCAGAACAGAGAGAAATCCATATGCAACTGCACAGAAGAATGACAAGATGTTTCAAACTTACGTTGTTAGCAGGAACGCCCCATCACCACATCTTTCCAGAGCCTTTCGTGCAGGAGGTTTTGCTGCAAATTCTACAAAACCTTTTCCTGTAGCTCTACCGCGATCATCCACAACTACAACAGCTTTCTCTACTGGACCAAACTGGGAAAATGCTTGCTCTAGCAGCTCATTGGAGACGACTGGAGAAAGGTTTTTGACAGTTAGGGCTGCTCCATGTGTAGCAAAACGAATTCGGAGAGGTCTGCTCTTCAAAATAGTGCCATCCAGCTCTGCTTTTGCAATTTCAGCCAGTGTTCTGGATTCCTTTTTAAGAGGAAAAAAATCACTTTGTAAAGATGGTAGTAACACAAAAATTATAAATAGTGGTTTGTTTTTAAGGAGGATAGCTAAGTAGCTTTAGAAAATGACTGATAAGGTCTCTTTGTTTTTTTGTCTTTCGACTTTGGTATTACATGCATTTTATTAATTATTCAAAGAAAAGTAATTTTAAATATTTTAAGTACAAAGTCCTAACCCCAATGTCCTATTAAAAGCTATCACTTAAAGATTATCAGCTCATAACAAGCTGTTAAATATTCCAAGCAATATCTTTTTTAAATCTCCTACATATATTAAAAGAAATATGTAATTACTTTCAATACCAAGTACCAGTTACTACAAACTATTGTTGAAAATAGAATTCCCTAAGCAATCCAAATTTTTGATATTCATATCTTAATAAAACACCCCACCTCTCCAATGTCAAATCCCCTTTCCTTTTTATTTCCATTTCTCTTTAATAGCCGTGAAAGCTACTTTCAGGTGTTGTTAATCACTTCTCCAGAAATACTTCCATGGGCTACACATTTCTCGCCATTATACCGAGAGAAGCAAACACACACATTCATGGGTTATAAGAGTTCTTTCCATTTAATAGAAAAGCATGTGCACATGCACTTATTGTAAACTAAAAAATACATTCATTTCCAAAACCACGAGATGTCCCTTCTTGAAGAATTCAAAGCTGGTATAGAATATAGGCATCTAAAACACAAACTGGAAAACTTAATACAGGTATGTTCTTTTTTTGTGTCGTGAGAACTCTCCAGGGAGAATTGAAAGAGGTTTTATATGCATTTTTAAGAAGAGTAGAAATATACTGCCTTATGAAAAACTCTTAAGGTCACAACAGCTCTTTATTCAATCCCTAAAATGCTCACAACAGCTTTAAATCACTGGTCTTATGCAAAAAACCTACCTAGAGAACTAATATTACAAAGACAAATGAATCTAACCTTTTTACAGTTATTCAAAATGCCATTTTGTTTTTCACTCTTAACAGTAGTAGTGGTACCAGCAAACATTTAATGAACATATAACAAGGAACAGGTACCTAATACTTCATATAATCCAATAATCTGAGAGGCAGATTTTAGGAATGGAGTCTTGAATTAAAATTCTGTCAGGTATAATTGAAAATGGGAAGAGAAATGAGGAAATTTCATGAGATAATGATAATGTTCTCTATCTTTATAGGAGTTTGAGTTAAACAGATGGATGTAATTGTCTAAAATCACCAAATCATACACTTAGAAGATGTGCATTTCACTGTATGTAGATTTCAAATACCTTTAAAAATAATATTGGACTCTAATTAATGACAAGCATGATGGAGTGTCTGAGAGTCCTGAACTGATGAATGGAGAGAGATGAACAGTTATGTGACAAAAACATACATAATAAAATTTAACTGTAGAATCTAGGTGGTGGGTGTATGCATGTTCACGTGCATGTCTCAAGTTTTTCATAATAAAATGTTTGAGGGCAGGGGGAGACAGAGTCTGGTAAACTGCACCATGTACAGAGGAAATCTAGTCAGCTTCAGGAAGATACGTTCACATGTCACATATTGGTGTTTTTTCAGAGGAAGCAAAAAATCTCAGTTTTTGTTAGATCACGTAATTCTTTATGGTTGGCAACAAATTCCATTTTTTATTACTTTTTGGCCTAAGGAAAATGTTTATGCTGCCGAGAATTTTCAATGCATAATCTTTTTCAAAGTTTATACTGTCATGATTTTAAATGGTTTTACATCAGAGTTTTCAACCTCAGCATCACTGACATGGGCAAGATAATTCTTGTTGTGGGAGGGCTGTCCTATGCTTTGTGGGATGTTTATGCCAGTGGAACCACCGCCCCAGTTTGACAATCAATGTCTCTGGACATTTTTCTCCAGACATTGTCAAATGTCCCCTGGGAAACAAAACTACCCCATTCCAGAACCACTACTCTAAATGTGTACTGAAGTATCTGTAAATTCAATTAAAAATATCTATTTGAAATGAAACCAAAGATTTCTTTACTTCATGCCTCAGAACAATAACTTTTACCAAATAGTTACTATATGCCAGCCATTCATCATTCTCTCTCTCTCTCACCACACCTCTTTCATTACCCCCACCCAACAGTCTTATGTTATGAAGTAGGTTTTGTTACTATGCCCATTTCACATATGTGAAAACAGGCCTAGAAAGGTTGAAGTAACTTGCCCAAGATCACATTGCAAATGTCGATCTCAATCTATAAAGAATTCACAATCTCCACCAGTACACCATAAATTCCAGCTGGTGTTCTTGCATCACTCTGCATAAAAAGTAAAACTATAGGTTCTTAACTAAAAGGAATACAAAAAATAAAGTAAAAATAACAAAAAACTAAGTGACTATCCCAAAACAGACACTACTTAAACTAGGATCTAACAATTTTCACTGAACCCTTTCCAAAGCACCTTATCTTTTCTCTCACTGTTTGCTAGTGCTTAAAATTCCTCACTGCAAAAGTACTAAGTTAACAAGAAAATCCACTAATGCAAAATGGAATTGTGCCTTCAAGTCAATCAACAGAAAGTTGATTAAATAACCTTCAGTATAGTCACACTGTGAAATACAGTATGGTCATTTAAAAAAATCTAATGACATAAAAAGATGACAAAGATGAATTAAATGAAAAACTCAAATGACAATGTGTTATGCTTGGTTTGATTTTTACTGAAAACATTATACCAAGTTAACAGTGATCATGTTTAGTAAAAGCACATAAGGAGACGGAAGATGTTTCACTAATGTAAAATTATAATTAAAATAACTTCTCTGAAATAAAAGATGACTTGCAATCATATTCTAGACAAGCCTGCTAAGAACATTTTGCAATGTTTTCTCAAATATTTGATCATTCTGTAAGAGGTATACATTATTTCACCATTGAAAATAAAAAACATAATGGGAGGGGGTTTAGTTTCCAATGACTAAACAAAAATAAATTCAGGTGATTTCTAATTATTTTACTAGAACGGTTCTCCAACTTTAGCAAGCATCAGAGTAACAGAGGGCTGGTTAGAATATAAGATTCCTGAGCCCCAACCCCCAAATTTCTGATTCTGTAGATGTAGACAGGGGCCCTAGAATTTACATTTCTAACAAATTCAGTTTGACTGATGAGGTGAGACGATTTTTGCTATGTTACAGAGTCAGCACTGCTAGCATCAGTAGTGGGTAAAATAGCTCAAGTGGCCCTCTGCTTACACTAGGAAGAGATGTGAAGCTGTTGGATAGAAGCCACATTTCTGTGCATCACTGCTCCCAATATCTGGTTTACTAAAGCTAAGAGGTGGGGGGTGGAGGGTGGGTAAAAGTGGAAAAGGAGTTCAAGTGAAACTACTACCAGTTTTCACTACAATAAACTAGCTTTAAAATGCACTACAACTTTAAAGTCTATTTATCCAATCTAAATTGTGAACCAGTTAAAACCTAAAAAGCAGCTTTTGGATCTTCAATTCCACAAAATGTGTCCAAAATACACTCACAGTCTATTTCATCTCTAATGTATCATGGGCTCACAATACAGATTAGAACTTTACAAAGTGCAACCTATTTTCCCCTTCCTTAATATATTAGCAGTGCTGACCTTGTACCATCCAAAAAAAGGTCTCACCTCATCAATTAAACTGGGAAACTACAACCACCGGTCTAAAAAAAGTTATTTGTATTTTAAAGATTAATTATTCAAGGCATAAAAAGTACCTCTAAAACATAAATCGGACAAAACTACACTGCTATTTTAGAGCCATTACACCACCACCACACACTCCAACCACTATACCATTACTTACTTCAGATCAGGTATACACTATGAAATTTTCCTTACAAAAAAATACATAACAGTTCTGATTATCTAAAGCTTTTGTATTTGCCTGTTAATCATAGAGTTCAAATTAAACAATAAAGCTACCCATAAAGTCAAATTTTGTAAACTAAATTCTAATTCCCAAATGACAAATTTTTAACATTCTTACACAAAAATTTAGGATGATAGGTTTGGTTTGGAGGCGCAGACCCCAGATGAGCAAAACAGCAGCAGCTCATCTCATCTCCTCATTTCATAATCTGAGTTTTTAAAGAGCAATGAGCTGTGCTATCCAATTCAGTAGCCGCTAGCCACATGTGGCTATTTAAATTAAGAATAAACAAGATTTAAAATTTGACTCCTCAGCAGCAACAGCCAGATTTCAAGCACTGAGCAGTCGTCACACATGGCTAGTGTCTACCGGACAGCACGGATCCACAGCATTTCCACCACTGCTGAAAGTTCTACTGCACAGCACTAGTACACTAAAGGAGAAAGGATTATCAGTAGCTTTAAAGATAGAAAGAAGATTCTTCCATGTCAATATTTACTCACTTATACCATCCTTTTGGAAATCTTTCTAAAAATTGTCTACAATACTTTATTGCAGAAACCTAACTTCCTTTAAAAAAATTTTTGGATTTATATTAAAAACAATTTTGCCAAGTGACAAACATTTTCTCTAATGTCCAAAAGATAAGTGCATTTGTAATTTTATGTTCAAAATGTGCTGATTACTTAACTAGAATTTTAAGGAAATTTCCACATCTCATTAATGCCCTATGAAGATTTACTCTTCTTGAAATCATTTAGATGTTCAATTTTCTCTACATATTAAAATTCTGCCTTGTCCACTCATTGAGAAAACCCGAATTCTAAAGCTAAAGTTCCAACAGGAAGTTTCCACGTAAAATTTGAGGATCAAAGTAGACAACACACGGATTTGTGTAAAACTCACATATTTGTTTAAAAATGTCTCCAAGATATTTTATTGGGAAAACATCTGGCATCTAAATACGAACTACAACAATACTGTATAACCGACACTGATGGCATTCACAGGAAGACCAAATAAAGTAGATACTTTGTGCTGTAAACGTAAGCTCTCACTGGTCAAGTTCTTTGGGACTATAAAGGAGGCAAAAACTGTGCGTACTACTGGACAGCCTTTTACGACTTAGATTACGAAAGGATCAAATGCATAGCCTAGTGTTAAAACGCGTGAGCGAAACAGTACACAATCCCAACCCGAGGAAAGCTCCTGAATGCGCT